GTTCTGAAAAATAATAATAATAATAATAATAATAATAATAATAATAATAATAATTTTACGAAAAACAATAGGGACCTTCCAGTTCATACTGGCTCGGTCCCTAATTATGGTTTTTAAAACTACATATACTAAACGTTTAAAGGGACACTTCACCCATTTGCATTAAGCTTTGTACACTCGCGTGTACGAAAACGCCCAGCTTTCAACTCTTCTTCGAATCGTCCGCCCGACGACCATCTCCATTTTTCCTGGACCCGGCACGACAATACGGATTTGCCAGTGTCAGCTTCCTGCGCCGCCTCACCACATGACCTGGCCTGCAAGAGCACATCGTGCATCTTTCGCATCACTCGGCGGAGCAAGAACGATATCATGCATGCTTGGTCACAACAGCCGGCGGGTCGACGCCATCAGAAACCACCACGCATATTTCCCTCGGTCACCCATGCAGCGGCCACCGAAAATTCAGCCAACATTCTTATCGCGCTTAGATTTCGGACCTACATACTATAACCCACTTTCAATAAAGATTAATGTTTCCACGGGTGAAATGCTTCTTTAATATAGCCTACAATAATAAAATCTATTAGAAAAAAAAGTGTCATTTTAAGGTATGACCTGTAGGGGCAGTAATATTCCTTGAATCATTGCGCCACACAAAACAACTGAAGACAAAGAAGACGAAACCCGGAAAATATGACAAGATGGCGGAGTGTGAAAACAGCGACGATGTTAGACAGCCACAACATTCAGATACAGAGCCTCTTAAATTATCTGACTTACTAGATCGTGGGTGGAAAATATATGAGGAGGTAGACAGCACAAATGAACCGCTCGGCTCTAACAGTGTCCAGGTCAGAGTTAAACGCGGTATGAGTATGTTGGAAGAAGCGTCTAGAATGGTGGCTCAGCTCGACCTGTTCAGCCGCAATGAAGAGCTGGAAGAGATAGCCACGGTGGACCTGAAGTACCTACTGCTACCGGCTCTTTTAGGAGCTCTGACCATGAAGCAGAGCGGCCGAGACAAACGACTAGAGGTTGTCCAGACAGCCAGGGCTTACTTCATGGACTTCTTGAGGAGATGTAACGAGTATAACATATCCCCGTTTGAACTGCCAAAGTCGACAAATGAAAACAGAAGTCCGAGTGAAGAATCAGAAAATGGACGCTATGCAGCTAAGGTAAGTGCTGTAGTTTGTTAGCTAAAGATTACACTAGGTGTTTTTTGTGCAAACCCTGAACAGTAACGAGTACGTTAGGTTAATTGTGCACAATGTACAACGTGCGTGTGTAACTGTGGTCATTAGAATGAAGCAGTTAAAGCAGCAGTTAGTGTTGTTATAGCAACAGCAGTGACGGTAGTTTATGTAACAGCAGCATCAGTACAAGAGGAGTTTGAAAAGTTGCGGATGGAGAGCTGCTTTTATTCAAAGTTCACGCCCCTCACTCCACAATTTCTATCAAACCTTACTGAGGCTACATTCACACTGCAAGCCTTTGCGCTCAACTCTAAAGTGACGTTAAATGTGAATATGACGGTGCAAAAATTCTGACCTGTTTTTGATTTGGACCACAAATGAAAGCGGCTGAATCAGAATTGAGAAGGTCAGATTCTATGTGATTTGTGCTGTAAACACAGCTTTTGGCTCGGTTCAGTTAATCAATTAAAAGAATAGGTTTTTTAATTAGTGCAAACAAATAATGCTGCTTTGTTGTTTTTATCTAAAAAGGGCTAGTAATCGAATGCTCAAATCTCTCGCAAATAGTTAATTAACTTACACTGGAAGTATGTGTTGCACAGTGCTTGCACACACTCACTTTTCTACACCTTTTCCATAATCATAGGTAACACAAAATCTGTAACACTCCCATGCAGCTGTCTGAAGGGATGCTGGGGGATCTTCTAACTGTAGGCTACTCTGTCTGTCCACTTGCCATTTTTTACTTGAACTGTTCCATCCCTAATGATTACCAATGTTAGGGTAAGCAACTGATAAAAAAGCAGAGATTTTAGTGAAATTAAGGTCAGCTCAACAGCATCAGCAAATTCATCAAAATCAATCACATTCCTTTATTAAAGCCTTGGTTACACTAAATGACTTTCAGAGTCATCAGATCAGATCACACACTACACGATCTTTCACAACAAGTCTGACTAGTGTCAAAACTATGGACTATATTTAAGAAATATCAAATTTTAACAATTCCTAATGTGTCCGTAACAACAAGTAACTCTATAAAACATGTTGACAGTCTTTTTGTATTATATTATTATATATTTTATTTTATTTTGTGATATTGTATCGATTCTCAAAATCTGTTTTTGTGTTTAAACCGTCACTTGCTAGATAGCAGTGTTGTGATCATAAACTGGGCTGTGATGTTGGATGTTGCAGGGACTGCAAATAATACAGAAAAAAGGAAAAACGTCTTTTATATATTTTACTATTTTACAGCACCAGCTGACTATGAACAATTCAATTCAATTTTTATTTGTATAGGCCCCAATTCATAAAAGAAGTTATCTCAGGACACTTTTCAAATAGACAGGTCTAGACCGAACTCCTTATAACATTATTTACAGAGACCCAACAGTACCACCATGAGCAAGACTTGGCGACAAGGGCAAGGAAAACTGCCTTAACAGGCAGAAACCTCGGACAGACCCTTCGGCTCTAGGTGGGTGGTCATCTGTCTCGACCAGTTGGGGTGAGAAAGAGAGACAGAGAGAGACAGAGAGAGAGAGAGAAGAGAGACAGAGAGAGAACAGAAAGTAATGGAGTTCCTGGTGGGACAGTGCAGGAGATAGTTATAGTAATAAATAAAGACCCATTATGCAAGTAAATGGATGTAGAGGAAACACACAGAAAGAAAGGAGCACTGTGACTAATTACATGAGAATATTAAAGTCAGCATAGTTTAAAATGAAACGTGTGATACCACGACCTGTGATGTGTGCTTGTTGTTCCAGTCTGCCCCCTGCTCGTCAGACCTGGTTTCCATGGCAACACAGAGACAAGCCAAGATTGAGCGGTACCGCCAGAAGAGGGAGCTGGAAGTCAGACTGTCAGATGTTCGAAAGGCTGTGGACAACGGGCAGGCTGACGATGCAATCAGCAGAGATTTTTACCTTCTGAATGTCCGGAGATGGGTCACTCTGTGTCTGGAGGAAATAGAGAGCATCGACCAGGAGGTGGAGATACTCAAGAATATGGATGGTCTGAAGCAGGGTGCTGCCAAACAACCAGCTCGGCCAGCCAGGCCTCCCATGAAACCCTTCATCCTCACAAAGGATGCTGTACAGGTGAGTCGCATGAAGTCGTTTATTGACAGAACTAGCAAGAACAGCTGCTCGTGTTTGCAGAAGTACATATACTAAGGGTGCTCCGATTAGGGTTTTTGGGGCTGATGGAAGCAGTATCAGCTGATACCAATATACTGGGTCTATTTGAAGCCTTCTGTTTATTGTGTAGCCTTATTTATTTATTTAATTATTCTTAACAAAATTGTATAGTAAGTATTAAAATTAAGAGATGAGAAAGTATCACGAAGTGACAACTGTTCATTTATTGTCAGGCAACATATTTCACTTTCTCTCATGTAGGGTTTTAGCAGTTTTGGCCATGCTGAGTCAAACCATGGCACACTGAATTGCATTTCCATTGTCAGTTTAAAAGTTGTGCGGGACATGGACCTTTCCCAGAGTAGAGTCCGGCCTGCCTCCCAGCAGGCTTTTTTAGATTGCCATTTGGACAATTCTAATTTATTAATGTACAATATTATGTATTTCACTGTACTTTTTTCTTTATGATGGAACAATACACTGTGGTCCTGTGCACATTTCACTGTCCTGGCTTTATAGCTGATTTGTGTTTTGTTTTGTTTTGATGAAACAAAGGGGGCCTACATAATCTTATTTCTACTAGGTTATCTCTTATCTCACCATTTGAATTCTATATATCTATTCTAATAATTGTCCACCTTAATAATAAACTAAGTAGCTCACCTTGCTTTTCCCTTTTTCGTACTCACACACATACACACCTACACAGAAATGGTTGTTGACAGAGGTATTCCATCATAGTTTAATGAAATCAACAAATAAAATAGCAAATTCCTATTACGTGTAAAGGTAAAGCAGTAGTACATGTTGTAGTTTCATTAGCATGCTGTGCAACAGTGTTTGATAGAATGTACTTGCTTCAACTACAGGCTCGGGTGTTTGGGTCTGGTTACCCCAGCCTTCCCACCATGACAGTAGATGACTGGTATGAACAGCACAGGAAACAAGGAGTCCTGCCTGACCAGGGGATCCCCAGAAGGGTTGCTGTGGAGGAGGACACTGATGCAAATGAGAGGGAAGAAGAAGAAAAGGAGAAAAAGGCTGACAACGATGATGAGGAGTCTCTACTGAAAGCCAGAAACTGGGATGACTGGAAAGACACTCATCGCAGAGGTTACGGAAACCGCCATAACATGGGCTAACTGATCCCAACACAGTGTTCAAACAAACATGGCTCTGCCTTTATTTCAGTTCTAATAATGTAATAATGTGAAGGTCACCAAACCAAAAAACATTGCAGCATCACTGACACCCCCTTTCCACCAACGCTAACCTAGTGCTAGTTCCGGGCTGGTGCTTGTGCCTTTTTGGACTTGACAACCTCCTAATAACCGGTTTGCTTTTCCTTGAGCTAGAAAGCCATGTAATTACATGGAGTAACATTAACTGACCAACAGCTAACTAGTTAGCCTGCTAGCTCAATTATACTTTCAGAAAATCTGTTACGTTGGTATCATTGATGTGAGAAATGAGTAGCTTGTTAAATAGCTGATAAGTACATAGCTGACTGGCAACAAAGCGCCCACAGACCCTGACGTAAGTGGTTCTTGGTTCTAAACCAGCAAATTGTTGGTGTTACCGGCTGAAAGCCAGTTCAAAACGCAAAGAACTGGTTTGAGATTAGGCACCAACCAGCCCTCAACCTGCTTTGGTGGAAAATGGGTAAAACAAACCTGTTGATTGGTTTCTTGGTTTGAGACACTACTAATTTACTCATGTTACATTTTCTGTTGTCATTCAATTACAAGGTTGGACTTAACAATCCTCGACAATGTTTTTGGTATCTACAATTTGGCTGGATTGAATAGAGCCCAGCCATGATGCCAGTATTTCTGCTCTGTATTTCCCTAACACTGTCACTGGAAAATAAAGAGACTGATGGAGCAAGAAAAGCAGTGTGTACAGACTATTGTAAGAACACCATGATTATCTATTTAACTTACAAGAGGGATCTGAAAACTACAGAAGTGATTGGATAGCTAAAATGCGGCCGTGGTTGGTTATCGGATTGGGTCAAATCTTGAAAATGGGTTGTTCAAAAGGGAAAGAAGGAATCTGAAATCAGATTAGATTACGGAATCCAATCCTAGTTTTAATCTG